TTTCTATCTACACATGCTTCAGTAGTTGATCTATCTACACATGCTTCAGTAGTTTTTTATCTACACATGCTTCATTAGTTTTTCTATCTACACATGCTTCAGTAGTTTTCTATCTACACATACTTCAGTAGTTTTTCTATCTACACATGCTTTTCTAGTTTTCTACACATGCTTCAGTAGTTGATCAATCTACACATGCTTCAGTAGTTTTTCTATCTACACATGCTTCAGTAGTTTTCTATCTACATGCTTCAGTAGTTAATCAATCTACACATGCTTCACTAGTTTTCTATTTACACATGCTTCAGTAGTTGATCAATCTTCACATGCTTCAGTAGTTTTCTATTTACACATGCTTCAGTAGTTGATCTATCTACACATGCTTCAGTAGTTTTTCTATCTACACATGCTTCAGTAGTTTTCTATTTATACATGCTTCAGTAGTTTTTCTATCTACACGTGCTTCAGTAGTTAATCAATCTACACATGCTTCAGTAGTTTTTCTATTCACATGCTTCAGTAGTTGATCAATCTACACATGCTTCAGTAGTTTTCTATTTACACATGCTTCAGTAGTTGATCTATCTACACATGCTTCAGTAGTTTTCTATCTACACATGCTTCAGTAGTTTTCTATCTACACATGCTTCAGTAGTTTTCTATCTACACATGCTTCAGTAGTTGATCTATCTACACATGCTTCAGTAGTTTTCTATCTACACATGCTTCAGTAGTTTTTCTATCTACACATGCTTCAGTAGTTTTCTATCTACACATGCTTCAGTAGTTTTTCTATCTACACATGCTTCAGTAGTTTTCTATCTACACATGCTTCAGTAGTTGATCTATCTACACATGCTTCAGTAGTTTTTATCTACACATGCTTCATTAGTTTTCTATCTACACATGCTTCAGTAGTTTTCTATCTACACATACTTCAGTAGTTTTCTATCTACACATGCTTCAGTAGTTTTCTATCTACACATGCTTCACTAGTTTTTCTATCTACACATGCTTCAGTAGTTTTTCTATCTACACATGCTTCGATAGTTTTCTCTAATTACATGCTTCAGTAGTTTTCTATCTACACATGCTTCAGTAGTTTTCTATCTACACATGCTTCAGTAGTTGATCTATCTACACATGCTTCAGTAGTTTTCTATCTACACATGCTTCATTAGTTTTCTATCTACACATGCTTCAGTAGTTTTTCTATCTACACATGCTTCAGTAGTTTTCTATCTACACATGCTTCAGTAGTTTTCTATCTACACATGCTTCAGTAGTTGATCTATCTACACATGCTTCAGTAGTTTTTATCTACACATGCTTCATTAGTTTTCTATCTACACATGCTTCAGTAGTTTTCTATCTACACATACTTCAGTAGTTTTCTATCTACACATGCTTCAGTAGTTTTCTATCTACACATGCTTCAGTAGTTTTTCTATCTACACATGCTTCAGTAGTTTTCTACCTACACATGCTTCATAGTTTTCTCTATACATGCTTCAGTAGTTTTCTATCTACACATGCTTCAGTAGTTTTCTATCTACACATGCTTCAGTAGTTTTCTATCTACACATGCTTCAGTAGTTTTCTATCTACACATGTTTCAGTAGTTTTCTTTCTACACATGCTTCAGTAGTTTTTCTATCTACACAATCTTGATCATTTTATTTTGATACAATTGCTCAAATTTACATCTCATCACAGTCATTACTAACTTATAACCTTCTCCCCTTGATCCAAATATGTACACTAAGGCAGATATGAAGGATTTCAATATAAAATATTGTGAAGTTAAGTACATGAAAAACACAGTGGAATAGAGCATGTATATGTGATATCATTCATGTCATGTGTTCAAAGTTAAATGTTACAACTGGTTAATACATGCTTCATTACACATGCTTCAGTAGTTTTTCAATCTACCCATGCTTCAATAGTTTTTCTATTTACACATGCTTCAGTAGTTGATCAATCTACACATGCTTCAGTAGTTTTCTATCTACACATGCTTCAGTAGTTTTCTATCTACACGTGCTTCAGTAGTTAATCAATCTACACATGCTTCAGTAGTTTTCTATTTACACATGCTTCAGTAGTTGATCAATCTACACATGCTTCAGTAGTTTTCTATTTACACATGCTTCAGTAGTTGATCTATCTACACATGCTTCAGTAGTTTTCTATCTACACATGTTTCAGTAGTTTTCTATCTATACATGCTTCAGTAGTTTTCTATCTACACATACTTAAGTAGTTTTCTATCTACACATGCTTCTGTAGTTTTTCTATCTACACATGCTTCAGTAGTTGATCTATCTACACATGCTTCAGTAGTTTTTCTATCTACACATGCTTCATTAGTTTTTCTATCTACACATGCTTCAGTAGTTTTCTATCTACACATGCTTCAGTAGTTTTCTATCTACACATGCTTCAATAGTTTTCTATTTACACATGCTTCAGTAGTTGATCAATCTACACATGCTTCAGTAGTTTTTCTATCTACACATGCTTCAGTAGTTTTCTATCTACACATGCTTCAGTAGTTAATCAATCTACACATGCTTCAGTAGTTTTCTATTTACACATGCTTCAGTAGTTGATCTAATCTTCACATGCTTCAGTAGTTTTTCTATTTACACATGCTTCAGTAGTTGATCTATCTACACATGCTTCAGTAGTTTTCTATCTACACATGCTTCAGTAGTTTTCTATCTATACATGCTTCAGTAGTTTTTCTATCTACACGTGTTTCAGTAGTTAATCAATCTACACATGCTTCAGTAGTTTTTCTATTTACACATGCTTCAGTAGTTGATCTATCTACACATGCTTCAGTAGTTTTCTATTTACACATGCTTCAGTAGTTGATCTATCTACACATGCTTCAGTAGTTTTTCTATCTACACATGCTTCAGTAGTTTTCTATCTACACATGCTTCAGTAGTTTTCTATCTACACATGCTTCAGTAGTTGATCTATCTACACATGCTTCAGTAGTTTTCTATCTACACATGCTTCATTAGTTTTCTATCTACACATGCTTCAGTAGTTTTTCTATCTACACATGCTTCAGTAGTTTTTATCTATCACATGCTTCAGTAGTTTTTCTATCTACATGCTTCAGTAGTTGATCTATCTACACATGCTTCAGTAGTTTTATCTACACATGCTTCATTAGTTTTCTATCTACACATGCTTCAGTAGTTTTCTATCTACACATGCTTCAGTAGTTTTCTATCTACACATGCTTCAGTAGTTTTCTATCTACACATGCTTCAGTAGTTTTTCTATCTACACATGCTTCAGTAGTTTTCTATCTACATGCCGATAGTTTTACTCTATCTACATGCTTCAGTAGTTTTCTATCTACACATGCTTCAGTAGTTTTCTATCTACACATGCTTCAGTAGTTGATCTATCTACATGCTTCAGTAGTTTTTCTATCTACACATGCTTCATTAGTTTTTCTATCTACACATGCTTCAGTAGTTTTCTATCTACACATGCTTCAGTAGTTTTTCTATCTACACATGCTTCAGTAGTTTTCTATCTACACATGCTTCAGTAGTTGATCTATCTACACATGCTTCAGTAGTTTTTATCTACACATGCTTCATTAGTTTTCTATCTACACATGCTTCAGTAGTTTTCTATCTACACATGCTTCAGTAGTTTTCTATCTACACATGCTTCAGTAGTTTTTCTATCTACACATGCTTCAGTAGTTTTTCTATCTACACATGCTTCAGTAGTTTTTCTATCTACACATGCTTCGATAGTTTTTCTCTAGGTACATGCTTCAGTAGTTTTTCTATCTACACATGCTTCAGTAGTTTTTCTATCTACACATGCTTCAGTAGTTTTTCTATCTGTACATGCTTCAGTAGTTTTCTATCTACACTTCAGTAGTTTTCTATTTACACATGCTTTAGTAGTTTTCTATCTACACATGCTTCAGTAGTTTTCTATACATGCTTCAGTAGTTTTTCTATCTACACATGCTTCAGTAGTTTTTCTATCTACACATGCTTCAGTAGTTGATCTATCTACACATGCTTCAGTAGATTTCCTATCTACACATGCTTCAGTAGTTTTTCTATCTACACATGTTTCAGTAGTTTTTCTTTCTACACATGCTATAGTAATTTTTCTATCAACACATGCTTCAGTAGTTTTTCTATCTATACATGTTTTAGTAGTTTTTCTATCTACACATGCTTAAGTAGTTTTTCTATCTGCACATGCTTCAGTACATCATCCTTTACACTGACCATTCCTTCCATTGTATCTATCTTTAGAAATTTAGAAATTTTGTCCATTCGTTAGGTTGCAAACCTCTGATTCCATTTCTAAATTTGGACATTCTTTTGCATACACCTTTTCTGTTTCAGTGACCTTGACTACAGTACCGACCTCGAGTAACATGACTTTACTCGCGAGTCAATTGCGAGTCACTCGAGAGTGTCGAGTTGCGATTGAGCGAGTGACTCGCGATGCAGTTGCGAGGCACTCTCGAGTGTGAGAAGTTTGCGAGTAAACAAAATAACTCGCTGTTTGCGAGTGGATAAATTAATTCGCTGTTTGCGAGTGAATCGAAATAGCTCGCATTAAATCTTTCTCCAGTATTTGAAATTTACAAACATAATCTTAAGTGTAGTGACTAGTAAAGTTCGTTAAACATTTTGAAGGCAACGACTTTATACCTTTTTATGAAACATGGAAGCAAAACGACTATTCATTTGAAGCAATATCTCAGGACCTAATGACGTTGAAATCTTTTGAATATTTTAACAAAAGCATTTTAATAACTTCACATTTTTCATGGCACAAACGTTATTCGTAAATCGGTAGAGACCATAGAGAAATGTAAAGTAAATGTCACGCAATCAACGAGTAAATTGAAATAGCGCTGAAACATTTTCGCGTATTCAGTTTGAGCATATCATTGGTGTGACTCACAAACATTCTTTTCTCTCTATATATAGCATTTTGAAAACGGAAAGGCTTTTCTAAAAGCTCAGAAACGATTTATGACGTAGCTCTTTGACATGCAGGTGCGACTTTTGCTTATTTTTATGTTAAAAATTCCAATTGTAAATGCATTAAAATTGTGATTAAAATGCTAAAATTTTTAAGAGTATTTAAAATACTTATCTTAAAAAGTTGAGCATAACCGAAAAGTAACATTCAACAACTGATTTTACGTAAATGATTCCCAAAAAATACTATTTTATCAACATAAATTAAAAACTTTCGTTTCAAGTAAAATTTATCAAAGATAGCTAAGATTATTAATTTAGTAGTTTATAGTCTTCTAAAAATTGATAAAAAGTTTCTACGATTACCATTCAATCCTCGTAGCCAAAGATAAAAACGAGAATGTGTTACAGCATGTTGCAAAACAAATACATTTACAAAGTTATGTTTGAATAAACGCATTATATACTATGGTTGGCATTACCATAAGCGTTACATGGTATATTCAAAAAAAGGCTATCAGCTAGAACATTTTATCATATTCTTAGAAACAGTCTAAAAGATATAAGACGTCAAAAAATGACGATCTAAGATTATAGAAATCTAAATTCCTATGTCTGTCTTTTGGAAAGTCACGTGAACTGTCCAGTAAAGTGCTTGAGTTCAATATTGTTGATACATCAATTTTTTGCAGATAGAATCAAGAGAAAAAAGAAACCTATTTTACATTAGGCAAATAATTAATGTTGTTCAAAAGGAACTTGCTTCGTTTTTCATCAAACAATGGAACTGTCTTTACAAATCGTCTCTTGGAGAATGGGATGATACACACAAAAGTGGCAAAAAATTTTACACTTTTGAATCAGGAAGAAAATTAGACCAAAAAACACGAAAAAAATATCAGGATGGAGACACCAGTAAGTGGGACTGTACGACATTATTTGATGCTATACTTTTTTCAAAATCAATTAAAAAGCATCTTGATAAAAACACTAAGGATGCTGTTCATGCACTTCGTGGTGAAAGAAACAAGTACGCACATTGGTATGAAGGGGAATGCTCAGATGATGATTTTGATAAAATAGTCAATATCATTGAAAAATCATTTCAAGATTTGAAATTTTCCCTGGATGAAATCAATAAAATAAAAAATTATCGAAACTGTTTTTATTCGTTCCAAGTTCTTCCTTCAAAACCTAATCATTTTTTCGTTGAACGCACTGAATTACGAGATAAAATCATAGAAGATCTTGAAAAATTAAGGAATGATAACAATGATAAACTGACCTACTTCTACATCACTGGTAATCCTGGCAGTGGTAAATCACAACTTGCAAGACAGGTTTGTGAAAAAATATCGTGTGATTGGAAAAATAGAACTTCGTTTGTAATGACTCTCGATGGAAAAAATAAGGAATCTCTTTTAAAAACTTACTGTGAACTTGGATACCGTTTAAACTGTGACAAGTATATGATTAAAAAATTTGAAGATGAAAATTGTTCCATCACTGACAAAGTGAAGAATTTGCGATCTTTAGTATCCACACGATTAAAATTCTGGCAAAATTGGTTGATCTTGGTAGACAACGTGGCACAGCTTGACAAAATTTCTTCGTTACTTCCCCAAGTAGGTGATCCCATTTGGATAAATGGACAAATCATAGTTACCATCCAGAACACAGATGCCGTACCTCAAGACGATGAGTTTAATAAACATATTTCTATTAAAAGTGGAATGAATGATAGGGAATGTTTTCAACTGTTGAAACATTACACTATTGAAAATGCTGATGATCAATTGTTGAATGAGGTATCACACGCATTAGATCGTCAACCGCTAGCTTTGGCTGCTGCTGTTATTATGTCAGTCAAAGCAAACTGCTCATTTACTTGGAAACAATATTTAAAGAAAATTTATTCAGAAGAAGAAGAAAACATGGACGCCACTTTTGTTAAATTTAACACGGTATATCCTAGAAGTATGTTACAAGCTTCACTTTTAGCTGTCAGACAAAATGCTGAAGAGTCCTTAATATTGGCAAATGTTATTAACCTTTTTTCCGTGATATCGTTTGATCCTATACCACGAGACATTATTGTTTTTTATGTTCAAGAAATTGATCCCAAACACTCAAAGGAAGATATATGTCTTTGTTTAAAGGACTGCTCATTGTTCTTGCATTCAGAAAATAATGACATTAGTCTACATCGCATTGTTCACAAAGCAATTACTTTTTATCAATCTGAACATTCAAATGAAGAACATGAAAGGGAAACTAACGTTGATCAAATATCTAAAGCACTTTACATGTTTAAAGAGAGAGACGACGAAATCAAATTAGTACCACATCTTGAAAAAATTATTCAATTATTAAAGACCAACAAGACAAAAATCAACATGAACACTTTACAAGTTTTCCAATATTTTGTTGAGAGATTAAGACATTTTGGAAAATACGATCTTGCTTTTGAACTATTGGATAAATTTAAATCAGAAGAATCTAGTTATGACAAAGCTTGGTATTTTAATATCCTTGGTCTTTTATACCATAACACCGGGAAGTATAGCAAAGCTAAAAATCATCATGAAAAGGCTCTGGAAATTCGAAAACAATCGTTAGGTCCAAAACATGTTGATGTCGCTATGTCTTTAAACAATCTTGGTAATGTGTATAATGATACTGGAAACTACAACAAAGCTATAGATTTTCACGAAAAAGCTCTGGAAATTAAAAAACAATCGTTAGGTCTAAATAATGTTGATGTTGATGTTGCTGCGTCTTTAAACAATCTTGGTTTGGTGTTTTATGAAACTGGAAACTACGACAAAGCTATAGAGCTTTTCGAAAAAGCTCTGGAAATTAAAAAACAATCGTTAGGTCTAAATGATGTTGATGTTGATGTCGCTGCGTCTTTAAACAATCTTGGAATGGTGTTTGATAAAATTGGAAACTACGTAAAATCGATACAGTTTTATGAAAAAGCTCTGGCAATTCGAAAACAATCGTTAGGTCCAAATCATGTTGATGTCGCTGCGTCTTTAAACAATCTTGGTACGGTGTTACATAAAACTGGAAACTACGACAAAGCTATAGAGTTTTTCGAAAAAGCTCTGGAAATTCAAAAACAATCGTTAGGTCCAAATCATGTTGATGTCGCTATGTCTTTAAACAATCTTGGTGTGGTGTTTGAAAAAACTGGAAACTACGACAAAGCTATAGAGTTTCACGAAAAAGCTCTGGAAATTCAAAAACAATCTTTAGGTCCAAATCATGTTGATGTTGCTGGGTCTTTAGACAATCTTGGTATAGTGTTTGAAGAAACTGGAAACTACGACAAAGCTATAGAGTTTTTTGAAAAAGCTCTGGAAATGAAAAAACAATCGTTAGGTCCAAATCATGTTGATGTCGCCGCGTCTTTAAACAAGCTTCGTACTGTGTATTGTAAAACTGGAAACTACGACAAAGCTATAGAGTTTTCCGAAAAAGCTCTGGAAATGAAAAAACAATCGTTAGGTCCAAATCATGTTGATGTCGCTACGTCTTTAAACAATCTTGGTGCGGTGTTACATAAAACTGGAAACTACGACAAAGCTATAGAGGTTCACGAAAAAGCTCTGGAAATTCAAAAACAATCGTTAGGTCCAAATCATGTTGATGTTGCTTGGTCTTTAAACAGTCTTGGTAATGTGTATAATAATATTGGAAACTACGACAAAGCTATAGAGTTTTACGTAAAAGTTCTGGAAATTCGAAAATAAACGTTAGGTCCAAATCATGTTGATGTCGCTAAGTCTTTAAACAATCTTGGTAGTGTGTATTATAATACTGGAAACTATGACAAAGCTATAGGGTTTTACGAAAAAGCTCTGGAAATGAAAAAACAATCGTTAGGTCCAAATCATGTTAGTGTCGCTGTGTCTTTAAGCAATCTTGGTTTGCTGTTTTATAAAACTCGAAAGTACGACAAAGCTATAGAATTTCACGAAAAAGCTCTGGAAATTCGAAAACAATCGTTACGTCCAAATCATGTTAGTGTCGCTACATCTTTAAACAATCTTGGTAATGTGTTTAAAAAAACTGGAAACTATGACAAAGCTATAGAGCTTCACGAAAAAGCTAAGGAAATTCGCAAAAAAAACGTTAGGAACTACTCAGGTTGATGTCTCTAAGTCTTTTAAACAGTCTAGGTGTGATGTATTATGAAACACGGGAATATGACAAAGCTTTACAGTTGCACATTGGTAGCTACGTGTTTCAAAGAAAATTGAACCTTCCAAATTGTGTTAAGCCTATTTTTAACACATAGACCGTAGGAGCAAGGCTTCCACCTGCCAAGTCAACTCCCCTCCCCCTGAGAAGGTATTTTTGGTACTGAACAAAACAAATTCAGTTTGCATATTATGAGGTAAAATGAACCTAAAGATGTAATGGTCTTTGTCTATATATAGTTTCACTGTTATCTAGTTAATGAACTTACTCTACAGCCCAGGAATCATCCTAAGTAGAACTTAAAACTGCCCATGCCTTGAATCTGACATTCTCCTTTAGACTTTATTTCTTAAGTGATTCGTTTTTATCTTATAACCAAGTAGTAATTTTTATTGTATGATTCACAAACGTACTAAAGTATATTGGGATGACAGAATTTTATGATATAAATTTTGTTAAATAAATACTATCCTGTTAGTTGTTCATATTCTTTGATACATTTAGTAATTTTTTACTAAGCTCCATAAGCCTAAGACCATATTCCAGGTTTTTATAATTTCCAAGGGTACCCCTTTCCTACCATATATACCGCCTCACCATGCTGCAGCCAATTTTCCTGTACTGTGACTGTCTCCACCATGAAACATAGAACAAGAACCTAATTGAAACCAGGAATCTTTGGCCATCATCAAAGCATCGTAAGCAATCATTGGTGCATCATGAACACTGGATCCACCCCAACCTGCATAACTCATTGATTTATAAAAAGCATCACGTTCAGGTGTGTTATATGTCTCTGTAAACTTTGCTTCACTGTTTCCATTCATGAATTCCCGTAGTTTAAGATATGACTCCCAACTCTCTTTAAAGTAGTTCCAGATATTAATGTTCTACATCCCCACAAACCTTCTCAATGTATTTCCAAACGTTTGCTAAAAAACTAAAAAGTTCTGCTTCCCAACTTTTTGCAAGTATCGTTTGTAAAGCATGGGCTGTAAACAACGCTGCAGTAACAGCCCCTATTGTTCATTTCAGATCTCTCACATTATGATGAGCCTATTTACATAATAGCAACATGATACAGATTATGACTACTGTAGTGCAGAGACAAAATAAAAATTCGTTCATTTCAGATCTGTCACATTATGATGAGCCTATTTACATAATAGCAACATGATACAGATTATGACTGCTGTAGTGCAGAGACAAAATAAAAAATAACAATAGCAAACTCAACTTTCACCATACGCCAGACGGAAAGAACTTTTGGAAAAGTGGAAAAAAAGATGGATCAAAGACATGGTCATTAAAAACAAAAAATATTAGAAGGATGGAGACATTTTAGATCGAGATGTGGGTCTGGGTTTCGATATATGAACAAGCAAAAAACCCTCAATAAGTGCGTTCGTTACTATGTTGTACAATACACTCCGTTTCGCTCACATACGTCATACAACTGACTCGCTTCTCTCATTCTCTCTCAACTATCACTCCACTCTCTCTCCACTCACTTCTCTCACTCTCTCTCAACTATCACTCCACTCTCTCTCCACTCACTTCTCTCACTATCTCTCAACTATCACTCCACTCTCTCTCCACTCACTTCTCTCACTCTCTCTCAACTATCATTCCCTACTCTTGACGTCATTACTGATATTTCGTGCATGCTACTAACGAATGATAAATGATGTCCTTATCAGTTTCTGACATTCTGCGACGCTCAGATTTTTCAGGTTAAATTGAGCAATGTTTTTCTTTTTGCTGCTTTTGTTAATAATAATTTACGAAGAAATAGAAAACTTGAAATATATATAGATGGCTTACTAGTAAAAAAATGAACAGTTAGGAAAAGTCGCTAAATTCGTCAGCGCAAGGATGGCAATAACTATTGATGAAAACAGGTAGTTAGACTTCCAATGGTTTGTCAAACAGTAAAATTAATGCAAGTAATAAACTGTTTTAGGATGAGAATTACGCCAAAGATTCTCAATACGACACATTTTAAGCTCTTTCAGTTAAAATTAGGCCAA